TTTATTTATTTATTTATTTATTCAATTTTTAAAAGAGGTATATCTTGCATAGTTTCTATAGGTACTTACAGAAACTATCAAGTTTATAGCATGTTTATGGTATCTACCCTTTTCGTCTTACAGGCCAGTCATCTACAGACTCGTAGCAGACGAAGTCTTGAGATCAGAGATTCCAGTCAAGAATGGCAGCACTTACAGACCATCGATTTTGAAGGATTCAAACCATTCTTTGTGAGTCTGACAGACTGGGGAACATGCGAGATTGGCGACCTACTGGCATTAAGAGCATTCAAGGTGTAGATCTTATTGCATGTCACTTATATCATTGTCGTCAATTTTTGAATTGAATTGGAATGACGCAAATGAAAGTCCAACATTTGAACTTCCTACAACTTTTTGTCGTTGTTGTCGTGGCAGGACAGTCCTGCCTCGGGTGTTGCAGGATTTTTAAAGTAATATATATAGTATGAGTGGCCGTGTTGTATCAGATATACAACCACGAGGCGTAGCCGAGTGATTGTATATCTGATACAACACGGACACGAATACTGTATATGACTTATCAAATGTCTAGGTTAGTTCCTTTGCGTTTCACTAAAATTTTCAAATTAAAGTGAGTTTGGCCAAGAAAATCCAACTTAAAGTTTATGTAAATGAACACAGTTTTGTATCAGATTTACAACACTCTTCACGGTCGTGATTTCTGTTGTGTTTTCCTCATGAATTATTAATGAGTTTGATAAAACTATTTATTATTTATTATATTCTTTATTGCACTCCTGGTTGCACTCCTACATGTGTTTTGTGATTCATGTTTTCTTTCTTCTTCTAGGTAATCACAAACTGCAAAAGTGATTTCATTACCTTCAAAGAACTCGTCCAGAACTTAGGTACCATATGCAAAGGTGACTTACACGAGCGACTTCAGTTTATTTACTGCATGCATGTGGAGCCCGCAATAGGGGATATCTATGAAGATGAAAATGAATCGGATGATGTGGATACCTGTAGCGAGGCGTCCGAGGGGGGCATGGTTAGTAGTACCGAGGCCTCTGCTAACCACGCGGGCACTGAGGCAGAAGCAATCCCAAGGCAGGACAAGGATACTGCAGTCTGCGAGGAAACGCCATTGAGCTCGAGTTTAAAAAGTAGAGAAAGCGTAAAAATCCAGGAGATGCTACAAGGCGAAGAAGAAGACAAAACAGAAAATGGTCAGCTTCCTATGATGAGCCAGGTAACTCTTGTTATTTCATTATTATCATTGTTTTGCTGAAGTATGTGACCTCTAGAGCAGTTTTCGTATGACTGTGAAAAGCTCAGTGTCGTAAGCGTGACGTGCCGTGACGTGATACTTTCTAAAATTTTAATTGGATGATTTTTTTCACGCTTAATATGATTGGTCTAAAAGTGCCGTGATCTTGGCGTGACCGTGTCCGCGCCGTGTTTATGCCGTGTTCCGGGTATTTGATTGGATKRAGAGYAAATTCTCGTGCAATGTGATTGGTCTGGCGTATCCCTTGCTGTGTCACGACCGTGTTCGTACCGTGAACTTTTCACACTCATACGAAAACTGCACTAATGCTATTAACCGTTCCGAGTTGCAGGGCACGTTGCATTATGGGGATGTTTTGAAGGGTGCTTTAATACCTAAGCCTGGTTCACACGAGCAACGCAAACGCAAACGCAAACGCAAGCGCAAACGCAAACGCAAACGCAAGCAATGTTTACACGTACAACGCAAATGCAAGTAAATTAAGATACGCATGCGCAGTAGTGATTGTTCATAGTTCACACGTATTTTCCTTGTGTTTGCGTTTGCGTTTGCGTTGCTCGTGTGAACCACGTCTTGCGTTTGTGCTTGCGTTTGCGTTTTCTCCGGTTCACACGTTAAAAACGCAAACGCAAACGCAAACGCAAGCACAAGAAAATGGAAAATTTTCCATTCCTTGCGTTTGCGTTTGCGTTTGCGTTTGCGTTTGCGTTTGCGTTACTGTAGTTCACACGTAGTTTTCTTGCGTTTGCGTTTGCGCTTGCGTTTGCGTTTGCGTTTCTCGTGTGAACCAGGCTTTATATTCACCATTTTCCATACACCGGTACACTGGTCAAATACAAAGCATTCAACCGAGGCTGCAAGGTTCAAATTTGAATAATCCTTTGAAACTACCTTAGTAGCAGTGCTTAGCATTTGACCAGTGAACCCATCTATGGAAAATTGTGAGTGGCGTTTTTTTTGCCTCCTGATAAAGAAAAGTGATAGGAATGAAATGAATTCAACATGGCGCTAATTAATCCAATATGGCGGAAGCCAAAACGCGATCGCAACTAGACTCGCCAACTTTTCCCTTTTAAACAGAAAACAGTTAACACTGCACCAAAATGTCGAAAGGCAAACTATATGTTCTTAAATTAGTTTTGTTGGGCTTAAATGATTTGTTTTAACTTTAGTCAACTTCAGATGACCACATGCAGGTATGAATACGTTTCAACCGGACAGAAACGATGTTTGACCAAGCTAAAAATGATATGGCCTATCATAATTGCCGGCAACTGACCAACCATTGTTTAAGCCTTTCTCAATGCATAAAAAGTGAATTGAACTGACTGATGAAAATGAAGCGTCCCTCAAAACAGCCCATAATGCAACGCAGAGAAGGGAGGTACAGATGGCGTGTGCTGCTAATGCGCCGCCTCTCACCAATGCGGGCTCTGCGTCGTATGTGACGAGTAGAGTTGTTTGAATTAACTTCGCTAAAAATTTTTTTTCTTTTCGAAGGAACAATTTATTCATCTGTGGAAGACGATGTATTCTTTATTCCGTGAATTACCCAACGAACAACAAATGTACCAAGCCATAGCAGCGGTAGGCAACATATTATTGAAACTCGGAGAATTTGGCGAAGAATACGGTGCTACGACTCCTGAGGATATTAATAGTCCGAAACACAATTTACCCGAAGGGGTTACGACATCTTCCGAGCTTGGCTCTTCGTCTGCTTCACCGAAGGATGGCAATATGGGCAATGGCTATGATTCTGAGAAGTCTTCGGAGTGTGCCAGCCTTCCCGAAGGGGTAACGACGGCTTCCGAATTTGATTCGTCAGCTTTGTTGAAAGAAGTTCTTGCCGACGCAGCCCGAAGCAGCGAGTCATCGCTCAGCAGCCCGGTTCGAAGTACCACAGGTGAAGACTATGTTATCGTAAAAAATGACGATGGTTTTAGCACTCCAGAAAACTTAGACGTAGAAAGAAACGAAGTATCAGAAAACTTATCCAATCTGTACCTCAAACTAGAAAACACTAAAATTACATCTGCTAGCCCCAGCTCGCGATCGATGTCCGAACATCCGGGCGATGCATCCACTTCCGGTTGTAATGTCAATCTTCCTGAGCTTGGTGATGTTTCTGGGGTCTTTGAATCGGAAGTTGGTTCCTCGGAAACCGAACTGCTTGATTTAGACGGCAGACAGTCACCTGGAGTGATTGATTCTCATTGGTCAATATCGTTTGAGCAGTTTTTGGCGTCCATATTAACGGAGTCTTATCTAGTGAATTACTTTGAGCAACAGATTGATGTGTTGGAAAGGCTGAAGCGGCTAAAGACGGAAGGCATTAACAGTTTCAAAGCCTCCAATAATAGATTAGCTGACGAATAGACACCGGAAATGACATCACGACTGTTTGATTCATCCAACACGAAATTTTCAATTTGATAATATTTTTAATGGTAATGTAATTTGAGATGTAAATAGAAAATACAACAATCTTTGTGAAGGGAGTGATAGCTAGCTTAATGCCACTCACAACATCCAGTAAACTAACACAAATGATCTTAGAAAAACAGGGGAAATTTATGAGATTAAGTTTTGGTATTTAATTACTTTTCGTATCGTTTTCATTTCATTTTATTTCATTTTATTTTTCTTTATTTCATTCTTAAAGTAGTGTAATTTGCAAATTTGGGTACAGTTGCTTTCTGTTGGTTATGGACACTTGTACATCGGATGAATTGCCCTATTTCACTATGACGTCACATCAAAACAATCTATTGTTTAAACGCAAAGGATCATTGTCGTCGGAGGGGGTCAAATCAAAGCAAATTCACCGGAAATTGTTCTAAAACCCGTATCAATCCAAGAAGAAAAGTAGAAGAGCCAGCAAACTCTCAGAATATTTTTAGTACATATTAACACATATTATATCTGAAAACCAGGCCATTTTAGATTAAACTGTTTCGCTAGGAGCAAATTTTGTTGAGTTTTGTATTGGAATTGGCGATTCTATCCCCCACGTAAACAAGCAGTGACTTCGTAGTGAAATAGGGCAATTACTTTGCGAGACTTATTCCTGTGAGAATCATTTCTTTGTCTTGAGCGAATGCTTGCTCAACTGAACAAAGGAACATTGAAAGATTTAAACTTGGAAAACGTTGGGCCTAATGTAGAGGGGTCTATTCCCCAGTAACGTCATTGGATTGTTTTGGAAATTTATCGCCCTAATCAAGGGAAGGGACAATTTAATGCACTCGATTATCAATTTACAAATGAGTTCATTTAATATATATAAGAATTTATCGTTTATATATACAGCTGTTACGTTAAACGTAGACTAGAGTAGACGTGTAATAGTGGGTAACATATTGAGGTTTTTCCTGGATTTGCCGTGCTTTCAAATATGCGAAGGGAAGTAAGGATTAGACTCTGATTTAAAGGCCAGTGATGCGGAAAATAGATTTGCTAGACAGAATGAGATAACTTAGAAATAGTCTCCTCCACAGTTCCCGGCGCCATCTTGAAAGAAAGCCGTGCCTTTGCATCGAAGCAAGACGAACGGTGAGCTTGCAATGATAGAGACGTGAATAATTGTCCAAGGTGTTAAAAAAGTATATTTTCCCCTTTGGTTTAGAGTGCACTAGCTATTAAACACTTAGTAGACTATATAGTTGTCAACCATTTAGTTGTCGAATTCGCTTAGGTATGAACCAAAAAAAGACGCGTAGAGGTATTTGCTTTAGTTCACAAGGTTCTGTATAAGTAATATCCACTATTTCATACGAAATCGCAGCAGTTGGACATTACGTATTTGGTTTTGTTTAGATCTTATTAACCGAGCGGGAGGTCTGTACGGGATAATCTTGAACGAGGTCTGTACCCGACCGAGGTCAAGATTATCCCGTACAGACCGACCCAGCTCGGTTGATAAGAGTTTTATTATATGACCACTTTTCATTGAAAAGGACAAAATGTTTTCGCCGTAAGATTAATATGCGATCGGACCGGTTAATACCGGAGAATCTAGACCAGTCCGCGATGCGATCTATCCAATCAGATTGCTCGATTTGCTAGTGTCCAGGCTCTAAGATTCACGGTCATATAATAAATGGCGTGTACTAGATATATGCGACAAGAAGAGAAGCAGGTCTTCAACACGCATCTAATATACCTTAATACCTTTTATAAAATATTTGAGATATAACGCGCGCTCTGATTGGCTGGCTGCAGTGCTCGCACAAAGTTGTTGAAAAATGTTTTATAAAAACAATATAAAACGCGCGCGCATGTCTCTGTACTGTGATATAAACACTTTGGGAGCTGTAGAGCACTCGAAAAGCAAAAGAAACAATAGACACGCCTCGTGTTCCTAAACTTCCTTCTCGTGCTCTGCAGCTCCCAGCGTGTTTATATCACAGTACAGAGACATGCGCGCGCTTTTTATATTCCTTATAGATACGCACTTGAAATACGCACCAATAAAACGCTTAAAACAGTAAGACTATTGGTACTTATTAACTGAACAAAAGAAAGTGTGCAAGGGAGTCTGGTAGTAGAGGTCAATGACGCCATCGTGCAAACGTCCTATTGCTAGAGGTGTTAAAAAAGGTCTCTAGCGAAACTTTTGGCTAGTCTGTATCCTTAGTATTTAATATATTTTAATTTCACTGCCCGGGTTTTTGTCAATACTCCATTGTTTCATGCTTGCGACGACCTTGTACTCAAACATTATTACCAAACCAGTAGTTAGTATTTGAGTCATTGGACGATAAGCATCTGAAATTGCTGTTGACGTTTTGATAAAACCCAAATACATCTTGGCTATCAGTCGCCCCCTCTGTGTCTCCAAAAACACATTTCGCTTGCGTCATATCATGATGAAATATCTGTCCATCAAACTGCCACCAAGCTGAAGTACAATCATTACATTCATGGCCCATAACGTTCATATATTCCACCAGCTTACATGCTCCTTTCCCATTGAACTGAAGGATGTCAAAGTTGGATATCTTAGCTCGAACATAGTCAACAAAACTGACGCCGTCTCTTGGCATGTTACACGTTATACGCCAATGAGATGAGTGTCGCTTCAAACTTTCCATTCGAGCAAAAGAAAGTCGATAGGCATCCCAGTTGGGCTGGTCCTCGTTGACAGGATAGTTAACATTTAAACTCTTAGTGACAAATGCTGGCATATTTCTGTTTAGGAAATTCTGCGACATAAAAAGTGTCCAGGCCTTGTTTGCCTCCGTGTTAAAATCACAGAAGACTGGGTAGACATGGTCGTTGGTGTCCCGTATGTAGTAGAGTCCACTTTCTCGAGCGCCACTCTCATAATGATCTGAACAGCTTTCCGCGTATTTCTGAACGAAAAAAAAATCTCATTCATTAATAAATGTCTCATTCTCTCGGAGTTATTTTACTAGTAAGTTATATATCGTACTTGAAGATGAAAATAACGCATATCGGAGGCTTTGGGCAACCCTGAAATTTTATCGAATTTCATTGGCTGTTGAAAATAACATAGCAACGAACTCTAACTGGTAAATAGTACTATATTTTCAGTGCCTACAATGCGCATGAAAATTATGGTCTAGAATTCAAGATGGAGGATGCCTGTGAAAAGGTGAGTAAAGTAAACTCTCAGTTAGAAATCTGCTTAAAAATATAGGATTTTTTGGCTTAAAAATCCTTTAATGACCAAATCATATTAATGTCTCATAACTGCGAAATTTTCACGTTTATTTATGGAAAGACCCTTGTTTTTTTGCGATTTCAGTCTGACGTTTAACGATGAATCGTACTGCAGTTTACATGTGGAACTCTGCAATTTGATTATGCACTTCATTAATTCATTATTTACTGCCTAAGACGACATGTAGAGAAAAGATTACCCCGAGGGGCGGAACAAACAGAATGAAGAAGTGTTAAATATTGTCATAAAGTCGCTCATGCTTGAAGCCCTGCTGAGAGAAACTATGAACCTAGCCTTCCTCGGCAAAAATTTCACTGGTGGAATTTGTTTTAGAGGTTCAAACCAGATAAATATGAATGTGTAACAACTTGATTCACTAAACAGGACGTAAAACTCTTGATCATTTTTAAGTTTGTAGTAACTTAAACGGCGTCATAGTTAGGGGAGTTATCTTATCTCCTAGGTTCGTGCATCAACCAGGTAGGTGAATACGAACCAGATAGTAGTCTCCTACGAAAAATTGTTCAAAAATACAAAAGTTGTATGCTTAAACTGAAGGCTCGCAAAATAGGCTTGTGGCTCGCACACCGAGGCTGGGACTCGCAGACTCGCACTTTAGCTAACCTCATCGTGCGGGGCGGGTCACGCACAATCTTGATGTCGTTACATTGCAAAGGATTGTGGGATAAGTTAATTTCATGTTTTATTTCCTTTATTTCCGGCCCCTAGAATTATGTGTGTTACGAATCAGCGAAGCCGTGGTAAATGGGGAACCTCAGTCCGTATATTCAAGACCTCGGGCACAGTTTTTTTCTGTACAGCAAATAACCTCTATCATATATATAAATATGGATTGTTATTTTCAATTTAAAAGGTAAACATTGCTTTCTATCAGGACCATTCCAAAAAAATGCATGTTCGAAAAAACTTAACGACATCAAATAACAGACGTCCATGCTCGGAAATATATATTAAAACGAAAAGAGAATGGCCATTTTGTAGTCACTGGTAAACAAAGAAACAACACCTAAAGGAAACCTGAAATGGAAAAACGACAAATAAGATCAATTTTTAATTACAAGTTAAGCTTAAGTTTTCTCATGTTGTGCTTGTCTTTATGTGTTAGTGAGGACCAAGCTTTAATCAATAGTTATAGTTTTTCATGGCAATAGTTATGCAATTTACAGAAATTTAAAGAAATTATATTTTCTTGTTTATTCATATTCTTTTTTAGGGGTTTCTTTGAGGGTTGGTTAATATATTTTATAGTTCATAGGTTGGTTTCGGGTGATACACCTTCTAAATCTTAATATTCTATTGTGTAATCACCTGTCTTTGGCAAATTGCTTAAATAAAATACAAAATACGAGTCTGCTTGCATATGAACTCGATCGGCGTTTATAATTCTGCTTGTTTCGTTTTCAATCTGTTAATTAATCTAAGAGGGTGTATGCCAATGGGGTTAGACTGACAAATGACCAAAAAAAAAACTAGTATGTAATTGAAAAATAACCTAAATTTAGTGAAGAAATAGAAAACGCGCGCGTGTGCTGTGTGCAGTTATAAAGCACGCTGGGGTTGGCAGAAAACGAGAGAAGTGTTAGGAGAAGCACGACGCGTAGCGGAGTGCTTCTCGACACTTCTCGAGCGTTCTGTCAATCCCCAAGTGCTTCATAACTCCACACAGCACAACAAGCAAGTTTTTTATTTCTTTTATAAAATACAAATTACGTGAATGACGAAACTGAGAGTGCGCGCACGTGCTGTGTGCTCTCATAAAGCAAGCGCTGCTAACCAATCAGATTGCGAGATTTAGAGCAGTTATTTTATAATAGTTAATATTTCATGAAATTTCATTATCTTGGTTAATGTTATGGTCAGCGCTCGTAAATGTATTACAGTTAACTGACATTAGGCTGGAAAATTAGTGGTTAACTGACAATTGGGTATACCCCCATTGGCACCCTCGTTTATCGTACCGCGTTTATACTAGATCAATCAAATGTTTTAAAATCATATATATATATCATTTGATATATTTCGTTTATTTATTTTTATTACTTTTTTTAATCATATTTCACTCACTCTCTGATAGTTCATGGAACAATATAAGTTATGGGTTTTTTCGTTGTCACTTTCGCTTTCTCTCTCTCTCTCTTTCTCTCTCTCTCTCTCTCTCTCTCTCTCTTTCTCTTTCTCTGTTTGTCTGCATGAAGTTGTTCGCAAAAGAGATTTAAAACGTATAATAAAACGTTATTATTAAATTAGGTTTTCGTATGACATCTAAAATTAGATTTTCCCTTATAGTGGTTAGAGCGTTTGGCCTATTAGATCATAGTGCAAACCTCATCTGGAGCTAAAAAGAAACACCTCATCTGGAGATAAGATTAGGAAAGCACGGGTGGCGTAGCGGTGTAAGTGCTACCCTCGTGAAAAAAGGACGATTGCTCACCAGGTGTTATTTATTCGTGGCATATGGGTACCATGAATAATTTCATTTCATTTATTCTAAATAATTATCAAGACCTCGGTACAAATAACATGCTTTTCCATATTTAACGAATTTTTGTGCAGCTGTTAAAACATTGAGGCCCAAGACAAGCTTTCACTGCGACTGTCAATGGTGTTTGTCGAGTCTGTGAAATTTTTGGCTATGACCAAAAAGAAAAGCCAAACTGTCCAAACAACCTTTTGTGTATTATGTCAATCTGAAATTTTATACGGGAAATAAACCCGGGGAAAACTGTATGACCACTCTACTAAATTTATTTATTATCTCATCGACTTTGGGGAGAAAAGTAATCAACATTGGCACCTACAAACGACAGAGATAAAATGAAATATGTGATTTAAAAAAATTTTTTTTTGCATGTTTTCACTTTAAAAGTCATTCTCGCTTTTTATCCTCTTTTTCTAACTTCGATTCACTTGTTAACCAGAGAAAAATTGTTTTTTGAATACTCGCAACCAAGAAAATAAGATATCTTATTTATTAGCATCTCATAATAGAGATATAATGTATATCAGTACCGAAAACCATGATCATTACAATGATATTCATCTGATAGACTTAATGAATATCGCTACTGAAGAGGTAAACTCGGCAAGGAAGCAGTTAGGATCACTAAAACAAGTTTATTTTTATTCATAATAATGTGTTTGAGCCAAATAAATACTCTTTCATCATAGTAGAAAAAAAGGAGAACATAGAATAACTGTCGCTTAAGGAGTAAAAAAGGCGAAACGCCTAAAAATATAAATTGATTATATCTTGCGATTCTATTGAAATAAGTYGAGTAAATAAAAGAAAATCGAAGAGTTATAAGCGTGAAACATTTGAAAGAGAGAAAAAAGACAGAAACTGAAGGCTTACAACTTCATTGCCAACTGTATTTGACATGTTTAAAATAGCTTAGCTTATGTCCGCGATTTGACAATGAAGAATTTACAGTGAATTCGTTAGCAATAAGAAAAGAAAGAAAGAAAAGATTCCATAAAATGACTTACCATAGATTGTACTCTTGTCTGTACGTATACTGTATTCTGGGATTTCTCTAAACTTTGAGCAACTCCCTCTTGTATAGAGTGTATCCCTGCTGAGTTTAGTTCGCACCGTCCAAGGCCTTCCAATCGTTCATAAAAGTTATACGACACGCACTTTTGCGTTTTAGCAAGACAAGCAAGGCCGCATCGTATGAAGCTAGTCGAGGCAATCTCTTGAAATTGAAAACCATCCAGCCTGTATCCTTCGAGAGAGATTGGAACTCCTTCATTTTTGCGATACTTTTCGGACATCAGTTTTTCATCTAAACCCCACACAAAGAAGACCATTGCAAACAAATGTACGAGGTTGTGAGTTGTTAATAACCGAAACATTTTGGACAGACGCTAAGAAGAAAGCAATGAAAGTATTTTTCGATCTGAGACACTTAAAGGCAACCTCTAAGATACAATAGAGCTGTATGGAAATTTATTCAGTTCGCAAACAGGTTTTTTCAATCTTACTTTAATAATTGAAGAAATAGAAAACGCGTGCGCGTGCTGTGTGCAGTTATAAAGGACGCGGGGGTTGACGGAACACGAGAGAAGTGTTAGGATCGAGAAGCATGACGCGTAGCTGAGTGCTTCTTGACACTTTTGGAGTGTTCTGTCAATCCCCAAGTGCTTTATAACTCCACATAGCACGAAAAGGATGTATAAAATACGAATTACAATATCCGTTAGTTTTAGATAAGAGTAACGCAACGCTAATTGCGCGCGTGTGCTACGGGTTCTCAGTCACGAGCTCCCAACCAACCAGAACGCAGTATTTATAAAATTTATAAAGCTTAGTTTCATTGATGTGTGATATCAATCGAGTTACTGTTAATATCATCAGCCTTACATTGCCGGCCAATGAAAATATTTTTAAAAACTGAGGTCAAAAACATAGGGTTTCGCTTTCCTACTTTGGCTTATTCTCTACTTTCACATCCCCACAATACTTTGCGTCTTTGGGGGGTAACCAGAGGGTAAAAACCCACTTATTTTGCTGAAGGCTGATCAGAAAATGTTGACAATACCTTGTTTGGTATCCAAAAATAAAAAGAAGAAGTAAAAAACAGAAAAATATAGAAGCTTGAAGACGTTTAAGGTAAATTCTAAATATTTTTTTGTAAGTCAATACATTTTCTGTAAGACCAAAACACTTGATGATCTGTACACGCAAAAATAACTTGGAATAAACTTATAATCAGTATTGTACAGATAAAAGCAGGTATAGTATAAATTCAATTAAGAAACCTTTCAATTTGGTACAGTTTTTTTATTGGTTCCCCCCCAAAGACGCAAGGCATTATGGGGATGTGAAAGTGGAGAATTGGGGAATACCATGGAAACCATGAAACCTTTTTGCTAACTATTGGCATATATTTGTTTCCAAAACCATTTTAACTTACACAGTTACTGACATCTGCCTTTGTAATTTCAAGTGTATGAATTAATTCAACTCTTCTCCAAAGCTAATTTTATGAATTAGCAAATTGATGCAGGACGCAGGTGTGGAAATAGCAATTAAAACAATTGATGGTTTTCAATCATTCCCAAGAAAATTAAATAACAAATGACACGGCGGCCATGTTGGATGATATAAAAAAAATAATTGACAATTCTTTTGTTAAATTCCTCCAACATGGCCGCCATGAAAACCATCAATAGTAGCTGTTATTATAGCCAGTCAGTTATTGATTGATGAAAGGAGCAATATCAATATGGTCGTTATTACCCGATATTTTTTGTTTAAAACTACAAACATCCCAATTTGCCGATAAAATAACCAATACCAATGTGGTTGTTATTAGCATATTTTGGTGAAAATAAATTACACTTTTTCAAAAACCATTTTGAAATTATTCACTCACCATTTTAAAATTATTCACTCGGTTTCCCATTRTGCTTTGTGCTAAAGATTCTTCTTTCTTAAGCACATTGGCTGTTCCAGACTTCCTGGTTACATATCAGAAATCCGATTCGTCTTTTTTTGAATTTTAGCACTTTACCAAACTTTTTTATACCCACGGCTAGTAAAATCAATAGAATGTTGCCGAGTGCTGGATTGAAAAACGAAAACGAGAAAAAAAATTTTTTTCATTTCCCAAAATTAAATTTTTAATCTGGTGCTTTTACTCGTGGATACGCAAAGCGTAGAAACGAGTTATTGTGAGGGATCTAAATATCCCTGTCACACATTCACTCATTCACTCAAACATTCATTGGAAATTTTAAAAAAAGGTATTATAAATAATCAACTATACACTTGACAAGATATTGACTCGATCCAAACATTTTCGTGATTAAAAAAAGTTTATACCCAGATTGTATTTTATTTTTCTGCTTTATATTGACAATGTATTAGTGCACATTGGTATGTTTACTGCGCATGACTAACGTCTTTAATCAAAAGTCCAAAATGCAGTCCCATTCATCCCACATGGAATGAGGCAACTATATAAAGGTTGTCATCAGAGTGAAACAAAAATTTTTCGCTGTTCATAGCAAGGGGTTAATCTTACWCGGTTTAGGGGCCGACTAACCTCTCCCTTAGGCTTCGGCCGAGCTCCCTGATCAGTCATTATGGATAGCGGTGTCGGGGCCGAAATCTCCGGCATAGCCGTAAATGCTTCGCGCTGCCATACTGCGCTTCGACACTACGTCTGGAGGTATGGTCCTATTTGAAAAAAAAAAAAAAAAAGAGTAAAACTGAATAGTTCACAGAAGGGCTTTTTCCAAATTTCCGCGTGCCATGTATTATCATCGTTGCGCGCTTCGAGTACATTATACAATATTTCTTGCTAAGCTTATAATACTACGTACAGGCATACTTCAAGTATGAACATGCATCTTGAATATCCTAGAACACCAAAAGTACCGAGGGAATATGCTATTTTTGAATACCTTTGAATATTATCTCTTTCAAACAGTGTGTTTATTTAATAAACACCGGTAGGAAAGAGCGATAAATCGAGAACATACCTTTTTACCAACACGCCGGGCGGCCTTCATGAACTCTTTTGTTAAATAAGAAATTATGGAATTCCGAGGGGTTAATTATTGAAAACGTTATAGACTGCAGCTGTACATTTCAGAGTGTCTTTTTTATTTTACTCTTTTCAATGAGAAGCACCTCTAAAACGCGATTGAATCTGCTGGCAGTTGGAACAATATCTGAAAAATGAAGACTTATCGAAGACTCAAATTATTTGAAAACGTTATCCCGGAACTCTATGCTCTATAATTATCTGCATTTACTCTTCTTGGCATCCCATAATTCAATATGGCCGCCGTAACAGTAATAGTTGCGCGCGCATATTTTTAGCTTTCTCCGAGTCATAATGAAAATTGCCGTTTTCTCACTAGCATATAGCCATAGACCCCTTGCCGCACGTCGAAATGCATCTCAATTTGGATGAGGACATAATAATAGGTTTTCGATTCTCGTGACATTGGAACTCTTTTCATTTGTTTTGTACTCCAAATTGAGCTGCTTTGACGTCACATGTCTGGGGTCTGTAGGTATACAGCATCATATAAAGTTATAACACACCCACAATGAATACTAATACGTACCGCTTTGTGTATCGTCTATAAGTTAACTAAAGACAATAATGATAAAAGGGTAAAATATACATCGTGAAAAGATGAAAAAACTTACTGACGTTTCGGATGCTAGTCCGACTTTATATAATCTAATTAAAAGTGAAAGTTTGATTTATGATGGTAATGTTGATATGTTGGTTACGAAGAGGATGATATAAGGTCAAAATAGTGCTTTTTCTGGTACTTATTTCTTTTCATAGAAATACAAAATGAACAAAATATAGTCTCAACATGAATTTTATTTTAAGCTCTTTAATCTCATGATGACTTCAGTTATAGATGATTTTCTCAGCTATCTGCTAGTAATTAGGCATGGTAGCCTTATTCAACATCGGACGTTAGCTGGCCAATCACAGGCTTTGATCTTGGGGTTGAAATTCAATCCATTTGGACAAGCGAAGCTGTATTTCGTTCCACTATAGCATTGGTGATATTTGGTGCAATCGGCAGGATCTGCGTATGTACCATCCTGTTTTCCAGAACAAGAAAAGGGGCCTACGAAAAGAAGAATTTAAGACAAAAATATTTCAACAGCTATATATTACCCTGATTTTCTCAAAACTGTTTCTCGCACTTTTATAACTAGTCACAGTCATCTAGTTGCACGATATCATTATTTTTGTAGCATATTTTTGCGTGAAAACGTGTTTGTGAGAGTGAGGAGAGGGTAATGGGGCGAAAAGAAGGGTTAAGCTGGACACAGGGCTAACCAAACCATGGTGCACATTTCGACTTGAGGTTGTGAAAGGCTTGTATGGCACTCTTCTTTCAGTCGTTTCATCTAAGGCTCGTAATTTACCTATTACGCATGTTCTTACATGGTACACAGTCAAGTTTGTTTGGGGTGCTTCAAGTAAGAAGGCTGTGTCACAAGTGGCTATCGCTATTTACCTGCTGGCTTGGTTGTGGGAGGCAGTGTGGTTGGGCCAGGCGGATTGATAGGAGGCTCAGTGCTCACTCCTGGTGAACCCGTGGGCACGACTGTAGATCCCTTCAGCAGAGAAAAGGCAACCTCTGAGTAACGCTTTCCACTGATTACATTGTTCTGATCCCAAGAAACATCCCAAAGCATGATTCCACCGATTCCAGGCAAGTCACGAACTTTCTAGAAGTCAAAAATACAAATCGTTACCAAAATGAATTTTAACATAGCCACGATATAATGCACGCTCTAATTGTTTAATTTAATGATTTGTCCACTTCCTAATTAATATGACCCCGGATTTAAATCGAGAGAGAGGACAATGCCAATGTTTACTGCAGTCACGTGATCTAAAAGCGCGTGACTTCAGGAGAGCATAACAAGTACTCGCGATTCTTGTGATCAAGACTCCTGTGGAGTTGAAAGCTCAAAGTATATGCATAATAATTTTACTCAGTGTATTAAGAGTTCAATTCTTTATTCAGTTCAATTCAATTCAATAATATTTCCACTGACCAATGGAAAATCGAAATACAAAGTAAATAAGTGCAATTACATAGATATTTAAACAGTCTGAATAAAAAGAAGAAAAGAGCATAATAGATAATTGTGAACGAGTCCCTAAGTCGCTTTAGCTTCCCAGTGAATAGTCGTCTCTATAACAAAAGAGATACTAAATCGGAAAAAAAAAAACCCGGGAAAAGTATCATGATAATTGTTGTTAGAATGCTACCGATAGCACTACAAAGTGCCTGGACAGATTTGTGTGATGTCTCTAAGCAATTCAAAATAGTTGGAGCTGTGTTCTGTATAGCGGCTAACAGACGGACCTGCATATAGTTCGACCTCGTTGAGCTGCGCCACTGCTGTACTTGTGGTGGTGAATAGCGATAACAAGCTTTAAAATTTTTACCAAAGAAAAAAAAAATATCTGGGTTTTTTTATTTCTTTGTTTCTTTCTTTTTCTTTTTGTTTTTCTTTTCTTTCCTTTCTTTCTTTTTTTCTTTCTTTTTCTTTCTTTTTTTTTTCTTTCGTTTTTGTGTGTGTGTGTGTGTGTATGTTTTTCTGTATTTCTTGATTGATTGTTTTTTATCACCAGGGCAGTCTACGGTTTAAGGTACTTACTTGATATAAGGCCCTTAGCTCAGCTGGAGGGCGATAAAAATGAGCCCCGCTTGCACCTCCTGTTGCAGCTGGCATTCCAATGAAAATCAAAGGGCCTCGTGGACTTCTGGATTTAGAAAAGTCAAGCCATTGTTTTAGAGTTGAGTCGAACCAGTTTCCAGCCCCGGTGTGGCAGTAGTTGTTATAGAACTGGATATACAAGTGATCCATGTCTTCTCCAGCTAATTCAAGCCCTAAAAATATGAAAAAAAGTCATTGAGCATGTAGGCCGAGAAAAAAGAAAATGGACTTAGATCAATCAAAGCCGCTACCCAAGTACAATAAAAGTACAATAACCTTACTCAAAGTGGCTTTTATAAATTTTTAGTAGCACGTGGACTCGTAGTGATTGGATGTAGAGTATTTGAAAGACTTGAATATTTGAATGCAACATGGAAATAATTTATATTGGGCTCCAGGGTACTAAGGTTCTTTATTTCGCTTCGGGTAGGCTAAGGCGAGTGCCGTAAAACAGCAAACGCCGGAGTGAAAACATATTATCTCTGGACCCCAAGGACCTAAAGGACTTATATCCTAAACTTCTAGGAAATCTGGGTTTGAGATCGATAGTCTTGTAGGACTTGTAACTTCGTTCGTTCAGGATTCCAATGGTTTTAAACTTTTTGGGTTTCCTTTGCCAAAAGCCGGGTCTCTAATCAAGTGTCTCTTTGCTATAACATCTGCAAATTTCGATTCATGTATTCAACGTTTAACGCTTCAAATGGCGGGAAGATCACCAAAAAGATTCTATGTTTACCTCCAGACATTCTAAATAAGGTAAGCTTACCAAATATTGATTGCAAGGTACGCGAACGACAATTTGATTTGCTTGGGGCTTGAGAAGTTGGATACGTACCTGAATTTCCACCAGGCCCCAAGTGATGATCTGGATATGGACATTGTGGGGCACCCGTTAACAGGTAAACCTTGCTTTGATCAGCATCCATGATTCTTCGCATCTCCTTGATGAAATCACCGTAATTATCTCCACGACCACCTTCGATATCTAGATCAATACCGTCCATCACGGCACTGTAGACAATGGAATGATTATTGTGTCAAATGATTAGTGAATGTGACTTCGTTTGGACAACTTCAATTAGAGATACTTTTGCCATTTCACAGCTATTTTTAAATAGTATTGCTAATGTCCCTATAGTACATTTGCTTCCACTTTTGTTTGCTCTCGATCAATAACTAAAATCAATAAGATAATATATATATAATTATAATTGCTTAATTATAATCTTTATAGTACACTCAACAAAATTACTCGACTCTGATTGGTCGAGAGGAGTACAATTATAGCGTTAATTGTACTCCGTAGGAGTACCGAATTAAGTCGCTATGGCAACACGGCCAAAACATGGCAAAACAATTATTTTCTATCATTTTGTACTTAAAAAACATATAAATAAAATTTTAAAGCCGTAAGAACTTATCTTTTTTATGCATTTCAGTTGCGCGATGGACTGAAAACCGGCCGCCAAATAGACAAAGGTGAACGGCGTCGCTTCGCATTTTTTACTGAAATTTTGTTGAGTGAACTATAAACAAAAAATCGCACGATCTTCTCGTACAATTTGGAATTAATAGACACTCGTAATGTTTTGAAAGTTCTTTAATTGCACTCGCCTAAAGGCTCGTGCAATTACAAGAACTTTCAAAACATTACTCGTGTCTATTAATTTCCAAATTGTACTCGAGTTCGTGCGATTTCCTATACAAATTGCTCCAAATCTTCACAGGCAATAAAGGTTTGGCTGAAAACTGAAAGATATATATACCCGACTTTATAGAGGATTGATTTTATTATATCTTTATGATTGTATGTGTTTTATTGACTTATCCACATATATTCTCTTATATAATAACGTGCTGATACACAACTTGGGCTACCTCTAGGTAAATAGCGTCTCATAATTCAACATTTTCCATCATCGGTTCACTCGTCAAACACAAAGCATTCAGTCGAGGTTGCAAGGTTCAAATTTGAATAATCCTTTGAAAGTACCTTGGCGCCTCGGTTGAGCGCTTTGTGTTTGACCAGTGAACCAATGTATGGAAAATGGTAAATTACTGTTCGATTGCTCGACCAACTGACAACGAAACATTATCTAAAATTTATGGCATCTCCACATTATCGAGAAATGATTTTTAGATAAGAGTGTTTGGCACAGACGAGAGCGTTTTTACTTATACCAAAATATGAAAAAAGAGCGTACCTGCCGAATGGTCTCAGGTTCAACGAGCCATCCATTCTGCTGCCACCGAGGAATAAATCATAAAACGTTTGTGCCAATTCTCGGGCTTTAGCGGGGGTCGGTAGAGTGCCATCACCAGTTGCACCACCCACAGACATGATAACTTTCTTGCCCAGGCCCTGACATACCTTGATTCCCTCTTCGATCTTTGGACAACGAAGGAGGAAGGGGTACTGGGGGGATATGCTTTTTTCACAATGGTAGGCAAAGTTCAGCGATGGAAGGCTATCTGAAAAGAAAGAAAAAAAGAAGACAAGCATGCACAATGCTGGACGGACTTTCAATATCTGTAATGAGTTAATAAACATAGGTTTTGAAAAACTATTTCAAGGGAAAAATGTCAAATGAATGTTGTCCAGTACTTTTGGCTTTCATTTTTTTTCTTTTGAAATAAAATAAGTTAATTTTACTGTAACCTTGCCAATATTTTGGTATATATATTGCTCTCCTATAAAGGTAAAGAATAATATTGGGAAAGAGATCGTACATTTTCCCCTCAAAGTATTTGTTTCGTAACCGTACATGACTTATAGGTTGCTATCAATAGACGTCACTTCCGATAAAAGCTCTTTTTTGATGGCTTGTAGAATCCTTGAGGTTGTTTTGATCTCTTGTTTTCTGGTTTGATGTCATGAAAATAGTCAAATACAATAGTTTGAGGACTTATTTTGATATGTTTTGACTTAACATCCGCTAGTTGCCCCCCGTCAACCGCTTGTTTGCCCCCCAGTCAACTCCAAAAAAGTCACGTGACTGATAGTAAGCAATATGAAACATTGGACGCATTGTCTGATGCACCTTATAATCATTACCTTTGTTGCGAGAATCCCAGAAGATAATGACAAAAGACACGGCAATGATGTCGTATTTCGTAGTCCTGCATGTTTCAGCTAATGATCTCTCGTAGTTGCTTGGTCCATTGGCTGGACCAGCTCCATTCTGTCCCCAGTATCCTACCAGGCGTTGACGGCCTGTGTAGTTCTCTGCAATAAGACCAAACAAACGTATAACAAACATTTAAAAACATTCAAAAATATGAAAGGTAACGACTGATTAGATTTGATTGAAGGCAGCGAATAACCAAATTTCAGCGTGCAACTCACAGACACAAAGTTCGCATGTTTAAGAAAATCGCAGTAAAGTGAACAAATGCATGCCTTTGATGGGATTGATGTGCCTCTTAACAGTCTGGTCTCTCACAAACTACTTAAATACACCCTTGAAAGCATAGTGGTGTGTTTAGCAAGTTTTACTGTGCTTAAAATTAATATCGTGAATTCTGTTAAAAGTTTTTTTAACCGTCCTCTATTCCCAGAATCGAAATTTTCTTAAGAACATTTTTGAAAAATAGCCTAGGTGACCTATGAATTAAGGCATGAGATTTATGCAGAATCAGTTTTACCTCTCTTCGCCCAAATCCCAGCTGCAAAAGCAACGACCAGCAAAATCAGTACGGATCTCATTCTTCTTCACTCAAGGGTATCCACCTCAAAATAAATAATGCTTGATGAAAACAAGAGACTATATATATATTATAAGAAAATGCCATTCAGTCAGACCTAACGACAGACAAACTCTACGATAACGAACACGACACGTAAAACAAACGAACAAAGGCACTTGTGTTTCCTTCCTCAAGCTGTAATTTATTCAGGTGTCGAGTGGGCGTTATAGTGCTATACTAAAACAAGTAAAAACCTGTAGTTTCGAATGTTAAAGACACAAGCACCTCCTTACGGCAAATATAGGATTCGTCTGAACTAACAGGAATAGTGCGGGTGTTCTAGCGTGGCTCTTGTGAAGTACCTCTTGTTTGGAGATCAGTACAGTTACAGTTACAATATTTGATCAAGGATGCTGAAGAAATAAAAATATCATAGCTGATTTCTTATCCACTGTTAAGATTTCTAAATATATATTGTCAGTTTTAGTTCATATTCACTGAATATCTTTCTATTGTTATTCGACTACTGAAAAATAGAACCCTTTCTTTTTGAGTAGGCGTCAAGTTTTGCACCTTTCACCTTTGGGAGTAAAAGTTGTTTTTTATTCTTAATATCCAGTGAGCCAAATAGTCCTAGCTATAATATGTACAATAAAGAAAAAGAAAAGAAAGAGAAAGAAAAAAAGAAAAAGAAAAAGAAAGAAAGAGAGAGAAAAGAAAGAAAAACCTAGAAAAAAGTAAACGTATCCAAAAGCTAACACGAAGTCTCTTATTTTCATATAAAGCATTTCCCATATTTAACTTTAGATAGTTTTTATTCTAAAGCTAGTTTTATAAAACGCCTGTTTTCTACTTTTATCGATCAAAAGGGGATATTTGCGTTCTTACAAGGAAGAATATATACGGGCTAATGAAGTGCTATATGTGTCTCACCACTATTTTCAGGTTTTGCATCATCACTACCCTTAGCTTTGCATGTTTATAATCAAAAATATTTGAAATCCCGTTCAAGACTCAGAATTTTTTCTGAGTCTTTCAATTCGCAGCTGTATAAGTTGCTTCATATATTGCGAGGATCGGCTTAGTCTCCCCCATAGCCGCTTTCAGTGTCGTCACGCAACGCTTTCTCCGCTACTCAGGGGAGAAAAAGTTGCGTGACGACACTGAAAGCGGCTGTGGGGGAGACTAAGATCAGCTCAATTATTTGATACATTACAACCGCAGTAGAAATGTATATTTCATATATATTCTCATACACCTATATAATTAAAAATATATATTATGGTAAGCTTTAATGGCGTCAATAAGAGGAAAGAAAAGAGAATATACAAAAACTAACACGATATCTTTTTATCTTCATATAAAGCCTAACACAATATCTAACCCTTCGATATTTTTTCCTCTAAAGCCACTATTATAAAACACCCGTTTTCTTTCTCTCATCGATCAAAAAGGGATATTTTAGGCGGTTAATTTTATTTGAGTTCTTACAAGAAATTAAGAATAACTGCTCTTGGTTTGTTCAGTTCTAATAAAGAATATTTGAATGCAGTAAATGAAGAAGAGAGAAGAAACAACAACAACAACAAAACAGTTTTGATGGCGTCAAAAATAGAATAAAATTGAAACTACAAAAAAGATACTTCATACGAAATATGTTATACCCTATCGGGCGTACTACACTCCTGTGCTGCTCGACTGCAACACAGAATGCATAAATGCACTGAAGACATCGCTTTGAGACAAATTTAGTGCAGTTTTTGTATAACACGATCGTGACATAGCAAGGGATACGCCAGACAAATCACATTGCACGAGAATTTGCTCTCCATCCAATCAAATACCCGGAACACGGCATAAACACGGCGCGGACACGGTCACGCCAAGACCACGGCACTTTTAGACCAATCATATTGCGCGTGAAAAAAAATCAGCCAATTAAAAAATTCTAGAAAGTATCACGGTCACGGCACGTCACGCTTACGGCACTGAGCTTTTCACAGTACGAAAACTGCTCTAAGGCCTCAAAGTAAAAAACGAGTCAAGAAGAATAGGACATTGATAATGCCGTCATTTGACTCCCACTACCAAGATGCTTCGCGAGTTTTCTTTCTAATTTAAATAATAATTCTAATTTAATAATGACATGGAAAAACCTTCATAACTTCAAGAAGCCGCACTCAAACTATGTAATTTTTTCGGGTTATTCAACATCTTACCCCATGTAGAATCAATACTGAGAATATTGTCAGAAGGATGATAGGCACTTTAAGTCCTTTCACTAGATGTGTTTACAAAGTTCAGTTTACAAAATCACAACATGGTTGATTCGATTCGATTCGTGCAGCTATCGACAGGGTTTTGGAAATATCTTTATTATAAATTAAATAAAAAGTTTTTTCCCCTTATGCTCCAGTAATTTTGTATATACGTATTCAGCTCCAAATTAAGCGAAATTGTAGGTCTTTTTGCCAAATGAATATATTTGATACCTATCTTTTGTTATGTCAGTAGCATCAGGTACCCCTAAGGGTATCTATTTTTTTCACTTAACAATCTTGTTAAATTGTAACATCAATGACTTCACTTATTCGGTTAAAAATTTCTCCGCAAAACCCAATGATCAAGATGGAGTTTAGGATATCAAATACCATTGAGGTATTAAGGTTTAATAAATATATATTAATAGGGTTATAAACGCATTTAAGTGCGAAGATCGCAAGATAACTGCTTCATCCTTTGTCCGATCCTGTCTGTCGATTTTGGTTTCATGAACATCGATCCAAAAAATGCACAGGATTTTGGGTCTAGCATGAGTTTGTGAAAGAATAGAGCCAGGAGAGCCAAGAAATGCACAGGATTTTGGGTCTAGCATGAGTCTGTGAAAGAACAGAGCCAGGAGAGCCAAGGTTGTGTAGCGTTAGCGGAACCGAATTGTTTCCTAGGCAAACGAGCGGCGAAGGCAGGAGTAACGTACAAAAGGGGGTTCTGGAGCATTCACCCTTGGAACCGGATTTCCAGAGTTTTGATAGTCTCCTACATAGCCTCTGTTAGGGTTATCTCTACAGCGGCTGATTTGGAGACTAGAGTATTGAGGGGCGTGACATTTTTATCGAGGCAACTTGCTTCAAAGTGGCTAAGGCCCTTGCTACATGAGCGTTTAGCAAATATTTTTAATTGTCTCTTGAAGAAATTAATCTAGCTTGTGTTATAATTTCAGCATGTTTGAACATTGTTTGAGATAAGAACAGGATAATACGAATAAATTACAAATAAGTAAATATTTAACAATTATTCGCCGAAGACGAAGTGAATATCAGGGAATCATGAATAACCGAAACGAAGTTGAGGTTATTATTCTCGATATTTGCTGAGCCTGAGGTGAATAATTGTTTTAGTATAAATACACAGGTGATTTTTTCAAAAAAAGAAAAAGAAAAGAAGATAAAAGACACAATTAAAATTAGGAACTGCAACAAAGCGGCTGGCCGCCATTTTGGATTATCGCTAAAAGTTATTATCGTGTGATAATCTGAGTTTCTCGACCAATCAACGCGCGACATTTTCAATGATCACCTGTGTATTTATACTAATAGCGCAGCGCAGCCGTGACTTCATAAAAACAAAGACAAAGGCTAAATTCGGACAAACAAACTTACAAGTTTACTTCCAGCAGATAATTTTCACAGCCGATCGCAGTTGATCTTAGTTTACATGGGTTATTATTGTAACTTTCAGTAAAAATAATAAAATCGGTTCGTATAATCCTCGTAGCGGTTAAACAGAATGCAATGTTTGTCCGAATCTTTAAGCTATTTTTAGAATCAACGCGCTGCGCTATTAAGCAATGGCCAATGCTTAGCGTACGTAAATCTATTGATGGTGCACGCGGATAGTTGGGAGAGCACGATTGTAGCGTAAGAGTTGAACGACGCGGAGTCGACCATTGCTTTTATAACATAAAAAAACAACTTTACACGATAAAAACTGTTTATTACGCTCTGATCAAATCACAGATTTTCCTAAGGTGCGAGCACGATACTTTACGAGCTAACTTTGAAATCAGTCAAGTCTCGTGTTCGGAGCAAAAACAGCTCAATTTGTATTTTAAACTTCATTTTTAAAACATTTTCCAAAAAATTCATGCAAGGGAAGCATGCGCAGTTCCTAAATGTATTCTTAAACGTTTCATTCACAAGAAAGTTAAAGTTAATTTGACTGAGGAGAAGTCGATTTAGCGATTTTCGTTGGCGCTTAGATACATCACGAATTATCTGAACATTTTGAACTGTAATTTTTTTTTGAAAACTGAGTCGAAAGAATGCATCAGTGGCTTTACTTGGACTCCAGTAACCATCGTGGTGTTTCTCTGGACTACTGTGGTGACCTGTACGGCGGATTGAGCAAGAACAACTGAACTAATTGACTTCTCAACTGCAAAACTTCTTGATTTCGCTGTAGTGAGCTGGCCGATGGAAGGGCGAGTTCTTTAGTAAGCCAAACTTGAGCTCAAGGTAGTAGTCTTTTTAGTTTTACCTGAATGCTTGCAATTTTCACCGAATTTTCACCAAATTGACGTCACCAGCGTGCTCGATACGAGTGCTCCATACATTTTTTCATCATACGTGGTGAACCAATCAGAGCGTGCGTTATATCTTAGTTATGTTATAAAATCATATAGACATCCTCGCTACTGAAGAAATGTTGTATTGTGTAAAAAGTGGATTTTTAGCCATTTTCTTAATTGAGTAAAAAATTGATGTTGTAAGTTCTTTTCTTCTCTTTTCTTCTCTTCTCTTCTGTTCTGTTCT